CTCTCTGTGTCTCTCTCTCTGTCTCTGCCTGTCTGTCTCCCCCTCCCCTCTCTCTGTTTCTTACTTTATCTCGCTCTCTTTCTGCCTATAAATATAATTTAAAAGATAGAGGTCTGTCTATAAAGTTGTCATTTTTTTCCAGAGCGGTAACCCACATTGATCAACATTAATGCAGCCGTTTGGAATTTGAAATTGAGGGCGAACTGTCCTTGCAGATCATTTGAATTTCACGGAAATATTGTAGTTGTACAGGGACTGCAAAAGTTACTGGTAGGTCTATATGTAGGCCCTAATATTTATTTTGATGCTCTTTTCATCTAGATTGCGTAGGCCTACTTGTAGTTTGTCTGTTTTTGGAAACGAAAAACAGTTTTTATTAATATTTCTACGTATTTTTAAGCCGGGGAAAGTAATTCTACTAATACGGTACTTGTGTTGTTGTTTATCTAGGTTGAAAAAGGATACTCAAAGAGGTTATGAATAGGGCCTAGTATTATAATGTTATTCTTCTGTCTTGGGTATAAGTGTGGGCGCGCAGTGGGCAGAGTAGGCGAGCTCACCAAAGAAACCAAAATTAATTGTTTCACTGGACCTAAGAAGATGTATTCGGTTCGGTCCACAATTTATACGCACTTTCCCGCACTCCCGCACAGGAAGCGGCAAGAGATTTATTTTGTAAACAAACAGTCAAACAGTACGCGAAACTGGAAACGAGCAAAGGTTTGGACAATGTCTAGACAAGGCTACACGTTCTAGAAGTAGTTTCTTTTTCTTTTTACAAGAGTTCACCCGAGTTACAGCAGCTCTGGTAGATCGGATGCTTTTTACTTCTAGGGTCATATTTTTTTAAAGTCAAGTGTTATAGATCTAAATCTAGAAATCTAGAGTCTAGATCTAGATCTAGGCCTATGCAGTTCTGCAGAAAAGTGACACGGCCAGCAGAGAGGCAAATTCAAATGAGAGCTGACTCGGAATAATGTAACACCCTTAGAATCTAGACTCTAGATCTAGATTATATAGATCTAGATCTAGTTATCTAGATCTAGATCTAGATCTAGATCAAGATCTAGATTTCCTATATCTTTCAGTGGGGAGTTCCGCAGAGGGACAGCACTTGCTGTGTGACAAGTGAGCAAGTTAGCCGGTGGGCGTTCCCTGTGCTATTCTCACCCGGGGCCGGGGTGAGAATAGAAATACGATCGACCTCTCACCCTGGGTGAGACTTGCCACTGTAGGCTATTTTCACCCGGTGTGAAACAAGACCTGTTTTTCCTAATTTCGGAATACTTTCTATCGATGTGGATGATCAAATGGATGAAGGCAAAGAAAAGATAATTACGTCAAAAGTAAGCTAATTGTATCGACTACAAAGATATGCTATGGCTATTTCACTTTTTGAATCGAGCCGAACTACGGGGGTCGCCATTTTGTTTTGCCCGTATGTTCTCGCAAGATCTACTCCTCCCCTCTTCTCTCTCTCTATCTCTTTCTGAATACTGTCTTAGACAGTCTACTATAACTATCGGTGTTGACGATCAAATTTACCATAAAACAAAGTTAAAAAATGAAGTTAAAACACAAAGTAAATTAATTTGGTCGTCTACAAAGATGCTATGGCTATTTAACTTTTCGAATCGAGCCGAACTACGCGGGTCGCCATTTTGTTTTGCCCGGAAGTTCTCGTGCTACCCCTCTCTCTCTCTCTTTCTCTCTCTCTCCACTGCCCACAGACAAAATTGTATGCTTTTAGTACTTTTAGTAAAGGCTAACAGCAGTAATGGAACATTTGTTCATAGCACAGAATTCTACAATTTTTCTGTTTACACAGTGTAGAATTCTGTGGTTTAGGGTGACAGCAAAATTGGTTGGCCTAGATCTAGTAGTAGGCTATAACGGTGAACGCGCAGTGGGTGAGAATAGCCAAAAGACTCGCCTGCACTATTCTTACCCGGGGTGAGAATAGAGGTGGTCTTCACTGTGATAGCCTCCTAGGCCAACCAGTGTAGGCCTAGCGTTCACCGTGAAACACAGAATTCTACACTGTGACTGTGATAGATCCAACAGAAGTTTAGAACTCTGTGCCGTGAACAAACATTCCAGTGCTTTTGTGTCGAAAGCGTGCAATTTTGTTTGTGGACAGTGAGAGAGAGCGCAGAGAGAGAGGAGTAGCGTGAGAACTTCCGGGCAACAAAATGGCGACCCTCGTAGTTTGGCTTGATCCGAAAAGTGATTCGAAAAGGGAAATAGCCATAGCATCTTTGCAGACGATCAAAATAGTTGACTTTTGTGCTCTAACGTAATTTTTTTCTTTGATTTTGTCAATTTGATCATCCACACCGATAGACAGTTAGTATTCCGAATAAGGAAAAACAGGTCTTGTTTCACACCGGGTGAGAATAGCCAACGCTGGCAAGTCTCACTCGGGGTGAGAGGTCGATCGTATTTTTATTCTCACCCCGGGTGAGGATAGCCACCTCTGTTCTAGATTTTAGGTCTAGATTCTAGACACCCATATCTCGCTATTCTCACCGGAAGACTTCCCCCCCCACCCCTAGTGGGTGAGAATAGCTCCCACCCCGGTGTGGGAATGAGTCGAGGACTCCCCCCTCACCTCTCGCAGGCCGCTAAAATCACCTAGGCCTTTGGTAGCTTCGCATGTGGTTGATAATGAACTATTACCAAGTGACTATTTCTCCGACAGCTCGGGAAAATAAAGTTGAACTCGAGATTTTGTGGTTATTTGCGAGATTTAGGCGTCATCCTGCCATTCTGTGAGGAGTGGGAGGAAGCATTTTTTGCATCAAATTCAATTTCTAGAGCTAGATCTAGATCTAGAGATTTTTAAATTGAATATTCAGTAAAATTCAATTGTGGTTGGGGCAACGTTCCCGGATTATACTTGATTTGTAAATGCCTTCAAAAGGTACTGAGAGAAAACAAGACTGATCGACCTTGGCAGTAACCTCTATTTTGCATAGTCATGCACCCAGCAATTTAAACTAAAATCCTTCATGTAAACAAAAAAATATCCATCCCTCCACGACCCCCCCCCCACCCTGCGCCCCGTTCACACCTTATACCCCCACACACTCACACACTCACTCACTCACACGCACTCACTCACACACACACTCACACACACACACCCACACGCACACACTCTCTCACTCTGACTCTCTCGTACACACTCTCTCTCTCGTACACACTCTCTCTCTCACACACACTCGCACACTCACTCAGTCACCCACACACGTATACTCACACACACACATACACACGCACACACAGGCCACTCCATTTGCAAATAACCAAAAAATCTGGAGAACGGAAACCGTTCTGGGAAATAGAGTTCAAGTTTATTTTCCTGGGCGTTCGGAGAAATAGAGCCGGCCAATTTAAAAAGTCGGATTGAGCTGAATCTGGAGAATAGGGTGGATGTATGGCTAAATTTGATTATCACTTTCTTTCGCAGTTTCTGCAGCTTTTTCTTTTTTTGAAGTGTGTGCTGGCTCGTTGTCATGAAGCAGCAAAATGCCTTTTCGGATCTTTCCTTTGCTTTTTTCTTTGATCTATAGCTTCTCATAATTTTTTTTAGCTGGTTAGAATAACGGTCTCCAGCGATCTTATGTCCATTTTCAAGATAGTCTGTCTTAATCATGCCTTCTTTTTGGTCTTGGTCCAAAAAAATTGATACTATCACTTTTTCACTTGATGGCTGCACCTTTGCCTTCTTTTGATGTTGGAGACGAGGGCGATTTCTACTGCATTGATGTGCATTTTGACTCAGGATTGTAGTGGTGGTCCCATGTCCCATCCATCATTACAGGTCTTTCAAAAAATTAAATTTCATCCTTTTCACACAGGTCGAGCAATTCTTGACAACAATCCACACGTTGCACTTTTGAGGAGGAGTCAACGAACGTGGGACTCATCTCACAGAAACCTTGGTCATATTTTTTTTTATGTTCATTTAAGATTCGTTCAACTGATCAAATGTTAAGCCTAGTTTCTTTTCTCAAACGTTCGACTGTCACCTGCCTATCAGACAATGTGCAAGTTTCTTGATTTTCAAAACATTTAGTACTGTTGTTGCTGTCACTGGGCGACCATCACAGTGGTCATCTTCAATTTCCATGAATCTGCATTTGAATTTTTTTATACCAAAGTTTTATCACAGCATAGATTGGACAAACAGTTCCATACGGCATGCATCTCCGTAAAAATATCCTGTAGCTGCTTGCCTTGCAAGAACAAAAACTTCATTACTGCCCTGTGCCTGTGCTCAATTTTTTCCATTTTTATATTGAAACTGGAGAACAACATACCCCCATTCACTTACTGTGCGCTGGTGTTAAAATTGTCGTAAATTCCCCAAAATTTACACGCATTCAAGGAAGATGGTTGTTGGCTTTCACCTTAAATTTCAGCTTTCTCCCTTTATTCCTTCATGGTCAGGTAAAAAACTTTTGGTGTATATGCGGCATAATATGCCCCCCTCGTAGATCTAGATCTATACACGAGTTAGGGTTAGGGTATAGCGTTTAAAGGGTATAGATCTGCCCGCCTAAAAATATCCCTTCTTGTGTGAGTTATTGGTCGGCTGGCCCTCGGCGGAACTCCTACCGGATTTTTTAATTTGGGCAATACACAGTTTTAACGAGAGTATGATATGGTCAGACATAAGGCTGGAGCCCTGTGGTTTTATGCACACAAAAAAATCTGAAATTATGCAAACTGAGCCCAAAAATGTGAAATTACGCGATTCTATTAATTTTAACAAAGAATGATAAAAGAAAATAATCAGAAATTATATTATGCTCAAAATGATCAAATTTTGATAAATTATGCGGAGTGCATAAAACCACAGGGACAGATAATGTTCAGTGTAGAGTCGAGTGTAGACATAGAGTTGAGTGAGTGGTAATACCCAGTGGTCATCGGCACGTTCGGTTTGGTTTGCTGGCCAGATTAAGGGCGCGAAGCAGCTATCGTGGCACAAAACGATTGCTTGACTCGTCGCCTCTAAAAAATAATGAGGCGTCAAGTTGGCGATCAGTTTGTTTAGAAAAGAACCGATTCCCCACTCCATAAAGATTTGACCGCTCCACTTCATTCACTGCACTGGACGGCTACTTTATTATCATAGTTTTGTTTTCTGTAGCTTACTATTTATTAGGAGGCTAAGAGTCATTGTTTTGTTTGTTCAAAACGTACTCCCATACAGTAGGATAAAATTACTAATAAGGCTTGTTGCTGATGGGTTATATATATATAGTAGGCTAGGCTTAGAGAAAAATGTATAATATAGCCTAATGAATTGACGGGTATCACTGTGACTATTTTATAATGTTGGTGCTTGATAAATGAAACTAGATCTAGATTTTTTTTAAAATTATTTTTTTGTGTAGTGTAAATGTTTTGCGACGCTCACAACTGCGTAAGGTCATATGAGCGCGGGGGTAGGAAACTTTGAATTTTGCCGGGGTGGCGGCGGAAGCCTACTCATATCGATTTTGGACTACCAAGGGATCTTAAAGGTACACACAACTTGTACACGGGGCCTCCGAGATTTTTCGCCCTTAGCCTTGTCCGAGAAGGCTAGGTGTACATCTTACCTACCATAAGATCAGGGGTGTCCCTGAAAGACAGCAGTAAGAAGGAGCCAGGCAGGGAGTAGCAGTACAAAAACTGCAGAAAGAGTCAGGAGCCGAGAGGCGGGGGAAAAGGAGGTGAGGGGGTGGGGGCCGAAAGTGGAGGCAAAAACAGACTATAGAACATTGCTATAGTGCAGGAAAGGAGGTGAAAGGAGACAATTTAGAGAAAAAAAATTTCCGTCGATATCCTGATTCGAACCCGGGATCTATTGAATGAGAGGCGTATTCCTTAAGAACTTACCTTTTGGCCTTGAGAGCCCCCCATGTTTTTATTTTGAAAAAGTTTTGATATATTATATATATTGGTAAAACTATATGAGGTCAAAGAAATATATAGCAGAACCCACATTGTCTTCTTTGTCAGTTATCTATGACAGATCCACGCCACAAGTGTTAGGACTAGGTGAGATCAAGTTTTCGGCAAATTTTCGGTACATCATGGCGAATGGAGTTCTTGATATCATCTGATTTTAAATATATAGCTCATTCATTTGTCTTGCTTCGGATATTAAAAATACCCATCGTGAAGGCTTAAGATATCAATGTGATTGAAGGAGGTGGGAATCGCTGGTTGTCAGAGGTGAAATTAGCATGAAAATGGCTGACAAAGTTTGGTGACTTTCAAATTAACATTTTCTGCAACGTATAATGAGAAATATGTTTTTGAATGGACATCAAAGATGGTGAGCCAAAAATAGAATTCAGAAAAAATAAAAACTGCTCATTGTCCAATGATTAGGAAAACATAATTTTCGTCTATTTTTGTACTTTGACGAACACCTGATTTCACCACAGTGGCACACATTAGAATATTAGATGTCTCATGAACTACAATAACAGGATTTACTAGTAAAAGGTCTACTTTTTTAAGATGTGTAAAGACATACATTTTTCTGTTTCAATATCATAATTTTCAGTACTTTGACTCTTTTTAAGGTCCAGCTGAAAGCAGTGGCTTTTAAAAAAAACGTAAATTCCAAATAAAAGAAACCAATGTGTAATTATGAGACATTGATATTTTCAAATTGTTTCATGTGTTTCAATTTCATGATTTAATTCTTTTTTCTTCAGACAAAATAAAAGAAAAGACTATGGCTTCTGAGGCATCGGCAATATCTCTGTCCGATTCAGACGAGGAGGAGGAGGATGCCAATTTACCGTCCCGAGAGGAATGTGAACAGAGATGTCAATCATTTTGTGAAGTCACCGGTGCTGACTCAGCATTGGCCATGTATTATTTACAGAACAGAAAGTGGAATCTTGAGGTTCTGGCCTAAGTCTGTCTGTCCCTGTTGTTTTATGCAAGAAAAATTCTGAAATTATGCAAACTGAGCCCAAAAATGTGAAATTATACGATTCTGTTAATTTTCACAAAGAATGAAAAAAGGAAATAATCAGAAATTATGCAAAAAATGATCAAATTTTTTCTAAATTATGCGGGGTGCATAAAACCACGGGGACAGATAAGCATCATTAGTCTAATTATAATATAACAGTGCTTCGCAACCTTTTATGTGAGGTAACATGGTGAAATCAGGCGGTCATCAAAATAATGAAATTGAAGAAACGCCTTTTTCTGGCAGTTTGGCAATTTTTATCAAATGTTTTATCTTTAATCTAAAATACAGGCAAGCTTGACTACATTTGTGTGTTTGAGGTGCAAAAGTCAGTTGTGTTTTAGTTTTTCCTTCTGTCTACACCTTGCATTACCCCTGTTCATCTATAACAGGTGCAAAGATTATTGTATTTATTTTTCGGATTTGATTAAAAACTAAATCTTTAGAAAATGCACTGCAGATCTAATAATGTTAAACTTACTTTTCGTCAGGAAGGTCTTCTACTACTTTCTTCTACTTAAAACTCTTTCCTCAATATTTAAAAATCATTCTTGTTTCTTAAGCTACCTTTTACTTCATAATGAGGGCTGTTTCTATATATGTGTTTTCTCACAAAATGCTTTTAATTACAACAAAAGAAATACCTCAAATGTTTCTACTGTCCTTGTTTGTATGGGGAATGGTCTTGACTTGCAGCCTGCTAGCAACAATTGAGTGAGAACATTGTGTCCGACAGATCAGGTTTCTCTGTGTTTATAATCTTGTGTTGAAATCTTTCCTCTACCACTCTCTCACCCCCAAAAATGTGTTTTGGAGCAAACAGAGGGGTGGGGATCATGTTTTATTTCACAAAGTTCATAGCTATACTCTTATGGGATAGAGCGCTCTATATATAAATGTCATCTATTATTATTATTATTATTATTATTTTTTATTACATTACATATATACTTGGCAATTTAAAAAGAAAATATTTTAATTGAAGATCTTTAAGTCTTCATTTTGATTGACTTTGTGTATGCAGGCTGCAGTGAGTGATTTCTTCCCCGAAGCAGATGGAGGACAATTACCGAAACCCATGTCTTCAACTACCTCTGAGGCGTCGAAAAATTCGGTATCACGACCAAAGTCAAAAAGTGATTCTGCGGACCAGGCAAAGGCTGGGTCGAGTAGCAGTACGGAAAAATGTCTCACTTTAGCGTAAGTGTGATCTCTCGTACCGGACCCTGTTCATGGGTCTCAATATACTGGGGGGGGGGGGGGGGGTCATAGTTTAAAATATTATTAAAGTATAAAGTACTCTTTGCCCCTGTTCATTGTCTAAAGTCTACACCTGCTTTTGTTTTTTCTTTCTCCTCGTCCTTACTATTAACTATCTTCATTTTTCCTCTACTTCTTTTGCATGTTTGTTACTCTCTTGTGAACTGCGATTTCCGGGGTGCCTTGATAGTCAAAACAGACTTTGTGCTGTTGAGGCAAGAGAGGTGAGCAGAGAATGTCTGATTCCCTGTTTGGACTTCTATGTTGACATCCACTCCTTGGCGCTCATATGACCTTATGCAGTTGCGAGCGCCGTAAAACCTGTACTAAAAAAAGTCTACACCTGCTTGTAGGGACTATTCTCACCTGATTCTTATGAAGTGACAGTTTTTATTACAATGTCTGAACTGTAATTAAAGCTCCAACTTTATTATTTGCAGCCCACCAGTCCTACAGCCTAAACATGAGAACACCATCAAAGTTTTGTCATGGAACATTGATGGACTTGACCCTGATAATTTGCAGTCCAGAACAGAAGGTGCATGCAGTGTGTTGACTCAGTGAGTACAGGCATTGCCACAGGAGAAGCGAGCCGTCCCTTCTTTCTTAACTGCATTTTTGTACTTTTGTGATATTTAATTTTTATCTTATCGTTTTGTTTTGTTTCTTGCCCAAAGGAGAAAGTTCTTTATGAGTCTTGTATTAGTCTTATTTTTGAATGGGTACATTGTATTTTCAGCAAAGCAAAAAAATGTAGACCATATCAGTGCCACTTTTTTCAGTACTTTGTTGGCCTGATGATAATGTTAATGTTTCAAAGTTACCCGCTTTGACACACAGTAGCATTCTGGGTTGGCAATTGTAAAAGGAAGATTTAGTAATGTCACCTCTCATTTGTGCAAGTTCCTTTTTTTTCTACTATCTGTATTTCCTTAATTTGTTTTGTTTTTTAAACCAGAGTGTATCTCAGTTGAATGCACATGCCAACAATGAAAAGCATAATGTTGTTTAGTTATCTCTCCTTTGCCTTTAATAGTTACTTGATAGGGATCTTTCAATTCTTTTATAATACTCTCTTTTCACCAGGGAAAATGCTGAAGTTATATTTCTGCAAGAAGTTGTTGAGAGAAGCCTGAGTATTATCCGCAATAGATGTTCCAACTATCAGGTCTTTGTGGGAGTGGAGGGTGATGTAATAATGCCGGTGAGTCTTGGTGTCTGTTTATTGTACCATGATTTTTTTATCTATCAGGCAAGCTCAAACAGTATTATTTGCATGTAATCTTGACCAGGCTGTGTTATGTCTTATGTTTTGAGCTTGTGTGATTTGTCATAATTTTGTGATGTTTACAGATATTGTGCTTTTTTTTTCCGAGGTTGGGGGGGGGGGAGCTGAAAAGCTGAACTTTTAGAAAAGGTACTTACCTATTGCATATGTTGTAACAGTCAAGGTTTGAACAGAATTCTAGCTAGCAAGAAGGCTATAACAGAATTCTAGCTATAGCGAGAAGGCAATAACAGAATTCTAGCTATAGCGAGAAGGCAATAACAGAATTCTAGCTATAGCGAGAAGGCTACAACAGAATTCTAGCTATAGCAAGAAGGCTATAACTGGATTCTGGCGATAGCAATTATGGAATAATTTCCAAAGTCTGATCTGTTATAATGTAACAAAGTTGTTTTATAACAGGCATTTGGAAGACATGCTCGGCTGTAGTCTTACCTTCGACAAAATCCAAAGACAAACAGAACAAACAGACAAGAAAGCAGAAAAAAGCAAATGTGAACTACATCCAACTGGGCGAATGTCACCTATGTGACCCAGTGTATAGCTTAAATAGTGTCACGACGTGCTGGAATTAGTCGCTCGTCAATTTTGGGGCATGTGGAGTTATTGGTATCCTCTTAAAGCCTGTCCATTTGCTTTACTTTTGATGACAAAAAATATCCTTATATCCTGGATACAAGTCAAGATATTGGTGATTGAAGGAGGTGGGGGTTGGCTGGTTTCAGAGGTAAAATTAGCGAGAAAATTGCCGCCACAGTTGAGTTATTTCCTTAGCTTGAGAGTCTGTGAAAACAACAAATTTATATCTTTTATGCCTTTAATCAACATTTTTTGGTATATTCTACACAGAAATTTGTTGTTTAAGAGGCACGAAAGGTGTTGAGCCAAAAAACTAAATTCGATAGAAATTCCCAAACCTTCCAAAAAATGCCAGTTTCTTGACTTTCATTATTTTGAAGAGCACCTGGTTTCACCACGGTGCCTCATGTTACGGATCCCTTGGTGGTCTAAAGTCGATAAGAGTAGGCTTCGGCTGCCACCCAGGCAAAATTCAAAATTTCCTACCACTTGAAAATGTTTGATGTGTCCAGCGCGCTCAACTGACCTTATGCAATTGCAAGCGCCGTAAAACACTTAATAACCCCCCCCCCCCCAAAAAAAAAGCATGCTCTGCCCATGTGTCTTAAATGATGTCTAGTCAATATCCATGAGACTAAGATCCTAGAAAAAGGAAGAAAATGATGAGGAGCAAAGAAAATACAACACCACTGGACAGAGAAGAGCAGCAACTTATAAATGTCAGTGGGTAATCTACATAACGAAAACAATCCCATTCAGTAGTCATCAGTTCGCCCTTGCAGGTGGGGGGTCCCATAGTTTTACTATAGGGGAGCCAAGAGTACACCTGCCGTGATACTGCATATCGTAAAAGGTGACTAAAAGTGCATAGGTCTGGTCGTCCGAAAAGTGCCGTTTTGCGGAGGGCCAACTACCCGACCCAGTAAAAACAGTCAGTTACAGAAACACGCACAAACACAGCTTTTTATTTTTCGGTCTTGGGAGATGGAGGAGCTTCTGTATCAGCAGGAAGGAACATTCAAGAGGCTATCCCAGGATAGAGAAAGCTGGAAAGTGTTTGTCCATGGCCTATGCCCTTGTGCAGGGTGAGAAAGGCGATTCTGATGATGATGAATCATTAGTTACAGTGTATGTAAATATGAACCCTGTTGAAAAGTGTACTTTTTTTAAAAGACACTTTTAATAACATCATTTTTGTTTGGGTAGATTCATGTTCAGTACAATGTTATGTAAATGATTATGTATCCATTTATGTACTTTGCGAATTGCATTGTGTATATATTTTTATTATTATGTATTTGTATCCTATTTCATAACGATGTGTAAGCATGCGCTTGTGATAAGCAAGTAGATTGTGTGTGTGTGTGTGTGTGTGCTCGTTTGGCATACATGTGTGTGCTCATGTGTGCTTGTAATGTGTGCGTGAGTGTGTGTGTGTGTTTGTGCATGTGTGTGTGTGCGTGTGAATATTGTTCGTACATGCATTTATGTAAAGCGGCTAGAGCTGTGTTCGCACGGGAGTGGGCGCTATAGAAATGATCTTCATCATTATTCTCACTTTCTCTGTGGGTTGTTGGCGGGTGCTCTGATGTGGTTTGCTTCTTCTTTTCTATGAAACATCTTTCGTCCTGATCTCAGCTTCGTCTTTTTTATGTTTGTTACTCTCTTGTAACACCTCTAATCTTCTGGCGCTCATATGACCTTATGCAGTTGCGAGCGCCGTAAAACCTCCACTAAAACTAAAACTTACTTTTTCTCCCACAGAATGCATACTTCACAGCAGTGTTGCTGAGGAAGGACTGTACAAATGTACATTATGTGAACATCGCCGACTTCCCTGGCAGTCTCATGACTCGCAATTTGCTGGAAGTTAAGGTGAATTTTGTTCAAATTTGTTGTGTTTTTTACTATTTTGTGGCCCGTTTAGGTTACAATGCATGTGCCCGTATGTGTGTGTGTGTGTGTGTGTGTGTGTGTGTGTGTGTGTGTGTGTGTGTGTGTGTGTGTGTGTGTTTGCTCGTCACCATTATTCAGCATTGTTGTTTGTCAAAATACAAAATACGATGTATTCAGGAGAAACAAAACGTTTTTTTATTTCAAGTAGGAGATTATTGTAGAACAAACTGTTTAATTCATTAAAAAATCTGTTGCTCTTTTAAGAAGAGAAATAATACAAGGACCAGTGAACAATGTGCTGCATCAAACTCTACAACATACAGTTGAGCCTGCTCTATCGGCCACCTATATAAGACAATCGCCTGTACAAACGGCCACCTATATAAGACAATCACCTGTACAAACGGCCACCTATATAAGACAATCACCTGTACAAACGGCCACCTATATAAGACAATCGCCTGTACAAACGGCCACCTATATAAGACAATCGCCTGTACAAACGGCCACCTATATAAGACAATCGCCTGTACAAACGGCCACCTATATAAGACAATCGCCTGTACAAACGGCCTCTTCCCTTTTCCTCCCTTGAGTATTTTTTGCATTATAAATACAACGTGTAAAACCTGTCAAATACGGTCATTTGTGTGTGGTTGGCGGGTGCTTTGGTGTGATTTGCTCCTTCTTTCTTATCAAACATCTATCGTCCTCATCTCATCTCTCCTCCTTTTTTGTGTTTGTTGCTCTCTTGTAACACTTCTAATCTTCGGCACTTATATATGACCTTATTGTGCCATAAAACTTTTAGTAAAACTAAAAAAGAGTTTCAACTGTACTTTCAAAGTACAGTCACCATTGTCTGTGGTGTAGCAGTTAGGCGCTGCGCTGTCACACGCAGGAGGCCCGAGTTCAATTCCTGAGTGGGGAGGATATTTATTGAGTATCTCGCTTGGTCTTTCTGCTCAGCAGATATGTTCCTCTCAGCCCTTGTTGGCTCTGATAGACAGAGGCGGAAGCCTGCCTCTAAAATGGTCTAAGTTGTAACACCCCTCATCTTCGACACTTATATACAACTATAACCTTATTGTGTTGCAAGTATCATAAAAAGCCTTATTATGTTGCAAGTGCCGTACTAAAACTTTTTAAAATGTGTCAATTCGCTTTTCTTTACTCAAACTCTGTGTGGTTGGTGGGTGCTCTAGTGTGGTTTGTTTCTTCTTTCCTATCAAGCCTCTTTCGTCCTGATCTCTCCTCCTTTTTTATATTTGCTACTCTCTTGCAACATATCTAATCTTTGGCACTAATATGACCTTATAATGTTGCCAGTGCCGTCGAAATCTTATTTTTAAAAATAATTAATAAATTTTTTAAAACTTACTCTTCCTAAATTTTCCCTAAACCAGGCGGATGTGAAGAACGTGCCCATGGTTCTCCTCACTAGTCACTTGGAAAGCACGGCGGAATACAGCGCGGAGAGGAAGAAGCAGCTGAAGATGGCGTTTGGCAGAGTTGTGTCCCTTCCTCAAGACTGCACTGTCGTCTTTGGAGGGGACTTGAACTTGAGAGAGAAAGAGGTCAGTGTTTCTGGGCTTGCGGTGCAAATATCGGGTGCTGGGGGGGGGGGGGGTGGACACAGCTGCTGTGGGAACAGCTTTTTGTAAAGTGAATGGTTAAAAATAATAGATAGCTTTTGTATAACGCAAATCCCCGCTCAACAGCAAGCTCTATGCGCTTCACAAACTATACTATTACCCCTGGCAGGCCTGAGAGCATTCTGAAACAATTTCAACTTCCGGGGAAGCATACAGTGCAAGCGACCATTTATAGGCGCTAAAACACTAACATACTGACAAGATCTTTCGCTGTCTGTGGCCGGGTACCCATTCCCACCTGGGTGAAGGGAGGAAAATTAGCGTAAAGTGCCTTTCCCAAGGACACAACGTCGGGCCCGAGGCTCGAACCCCCGAACCCGCAACCTCACAATTACGGGTCCGGTAGCCTAACCACTAGGCCACCGACGCCACCAACTTTGTTGGAGAATAGATGTCATTGCAAGCGGTGTCATAGCTATTGAGAGACCAGCTTCCCTCAAGTCTTTCTATTGTGTGTGAAGTGAATATGAATAAATACTACTAGGAATGTAAAAAAGCACTTAAACTGGGCACTGACACTCACAGATCCACACACACGAGCACACTCATGTGCACCCAGCCTCGCACATAAATATGCTCACACACAAACACTTGCTCACACATGCACGTACAGACACACACATACATTGCACACAGATGCAACAACACTCACACACACACACACACACACACACATAAACACACACACACACACACACACACACACGAATGCCCTCTAGATTCTGCCACACTTCCACACTTTGTGTGCGTGTGGGATGCATAACAGTTATGGGAAGTTTGTAGTGAAGTAGTATCTCTCTGACTAATGGTGGAAGTAATAATATCCTCTTGGGCTGGAAAAGTAGAACAATTGGGGGTGGGGGGGGGGGGGGCTGATAAAGTGACATTTTTAACATTTTATCATTAGTGTTGAAGGTTAATCATTATATTGAATTCTGGATAGCTTCTTAAAATATTCGTGAATGGTTGGTGGATACTCTGAGGTGATTTGCTCCCTCTTTCCTACCAAACGTTGGAATTCTTATCTCTCTTCTTTCTTTTCTTTATATGTTAATCTCTAGAAATACGTCTAATCTTTGGCACTCGTTTGACATAATTGGGTTGTGAATGCTGTAGAATTTTTACCAGAACTAAACTAAAACTTTAAAAGTTTCTTTTTTGGTCGATTCTTCGATGTTGTCTGTTGAGTAAGAGCTCATTAAGTGTTGAGGTTATCACATGAGTAATTTTATTTGTTTCTTTTTTATCGGCTCAGAATGTGACTGAATTGAAAAGACAAGAAAGGGTCACTTTTTTTACCTAGTTTGTCTTATAAAATGGTTCTGATTTCCTCACTTTTTGCCAGAAAAATGTGTCCAAGACATCAACATTAATGCATGCACTTTGTCAAATTTCTATCAAGTAAAGATATAATGTGAAGTCATGCATTAAGTTATGGTTTCATTATTTTTTTCATTTTTCTCCCTGTTCCCAAACCGTGCACAGCTTGCAGGAGACAGCGCGAAACCTCTCGGCGTCTACGACTTGTGGGAGTGCACGGGGAAGCGGCCGGAAGCCAAACACACGTGGGATTTGATGAGAAATGACAACAAGCAGCTAGGGGGGAAATTTCAGCCCAGATGTCGGTTCGACCGTCTTTACGCACGGCACAGTAAACCCGTCAGCCTGAAACCTGTCTATTTTGAACTGGTGGGCATTCAGAGGTTGGCTTCGTGTCGCAGATATCCGAGCGATCATTGGGGGATCCTTGCTCACTTCAACATCCAGGGTACAGCAAAGGCATGATGGGAAATTCAGTAGCTGGGAGAACAAAGAAGAGTTCTTGTTAAAGTCACCTTGATCTATTTTGATTCATGAGAGTAAAGTGATGTACAATGGTTACATTGCTAAAGTTTCTTTTAATTAATTAATCCTCTGTGTTAGAACTGACTGAACACTAATGCGAGGAACTGTTCAAATGTAAATACAGTGGAAACCATATACAACAGGCCCGGTAATATCAGGGATCTGGTAATAACAGGGATTTTTTAAATCCCTGTTTTTTCCTACTCTTTGTCTCTGTTAAAAGTTATCTGCAATAACAGGGCCTTATCGGAGCCCAATCCGTTATAGCAGGGACAAAGGCTCCTTAACAATGTGTAAAAAGTAAGAGAGAGAGAGAGAGAGAGGAACACGCAGCGGGTGTAGCGAGAGAGGGCTGCTGTGTGCTACAGACTTTGATCTAGTCCTAACAGGGCTCCCCTTTTCAGGCCAGCTTAAGAGGTTCCTTCACCATTTGGTTTTCTATCTTAAGGGGTATTTAAACCCTTGTTTCAGAAACTTAAAGGGTAGTTGTTTTTTTTGTTCATGGCTGACCGACTTATCAACAAAAGTCAATTATCTCCTAATTTTATTGTAAGCATGTAAACATTTAACTCACACACACCCACACCCACACACACACAGAGAAAGAGAGAGAGTGACCGTGACTATGATTGAATGCTAATGATTTTTAATTAACTGTAAGGTTTCATCGTAACAACAACAACAACAACAAAGAAAGGAGTAATATTAACTAGAATTAGAGTTATTTCCACTTGGAGGGGGGTGGGGTGGTAGGGCCAATCAAAAATAAAATAAAGTTGACGAATCAAAAGGGGTCAATTCCGACTAATATAAAGAAACTAGACTGATTTATTATTTTTCGGAGAAATCCCAGGGTTCACTTTCCTGTCTTTCCAGACTTTCGATTTTTTTCTTTCGTGAAAATGTCACAAGCCTCCTGGATCGCTTCCGTTTCATCAAACGAAAATGCCTCATGCCTACTTTCGTGCCAAATTATTAGTTTGTTGTTAACGGCCTCTGTGGTCAGTGAACTGCGGAGTGCTGTGTGAGCGCGATTCTGAGATGAAAAACCACGCTCACATGGCACAGAAGTAAGGGGGATGGAGAGTGAGAGTCCAGCAAGTTTTGTGAAAGCAGGGAAAGAGTCTGGATGCTGCAGCAGCTGCTTGCACATTTCTGAAAGAGACTTGTTCCTGTGGTGGGTCAAGTAGAACTTTGACTGAAGGTAGGACTGTCCGACTTCTCCAACATCCATGTCGAAAGGTGGTCCCCCATATCTGTTTATGAGTCGGTCCAGAGAGTCTCTACCATGCTCAGGCTGTCCTTCATTTCTAAGATGGAGTTTCTGTGGATCAAGGACAATGGCAAGATCTTTGCTGACTTCCATATCTTCATTGGGAAAGCGTTTGGAAATCTCTTCATTCACATTTGTGACTTATTTCTTGCGCAAATTTTTCAGCTGCTCCTTGTCTCGTTCACCTGCTTGCATCTGAATACCTTGGTATTCCCCGTGCTGTAGCTGAGTGAGAAGGTCTGCTGTGTGGCTGCCTGGATTGTCCGGCAGAGCATTGAGTGTCAACTGTGTAGCAGCAAGCATGTCTTGCATTTTGGCAACATCCAGAACATCGCTCTGAAAGGTCCTGCTTCATGAGCATATGGCTTCCAAAGCATCAGCTAACTTGCAGACGGCTGAAATGAATCGGAATGTTTTGACAACTCCGAGGATGCCCTTGGCTTGAGCTGCTCCATCAGAGTTGATTGCTGCTACTTCTTGGTCCCACCAATTTTGTAGCAATTCACAACTGCTCGGGACTCAAATCGACAAGAATGTCTCGTCTCAGTAGGTGCGATAGGCCTACATTTCATTACACACTAATCCAAAGGTTTCAAACTGCAGACGGGTCTGTCCCGGGACGAACTGTCGTAGTGCGGTAGAGGCTTTAAACTAAACTGAGTTTACATCGAAAAAAAAAGGGGAGGGGGTGGGGTTCTGGTGAGGTGCCGCTATAGTCATGTTCTGCTGTATAGCAGACAAACGAAACAGAAAGAGACAGAGTACACCTGAGCCTTGATGTTGTTGTTGTTGTTATCGATCCAGCAACAGCTGGGCTCTCGCGCTTCTGTCCAATGCCACGTAGTGATGAGTGCAGGTTTGCTGCAACCTGAGCCTTGATCAAAGCAGAGAACTTCGTGTGTGGGAGGTCATTGGCAGCAAAGACCAACGCTGTCCCGATCTGATCGAAATGTGCAGTTGCGCTAATTTCAACAGCCTTGGATACCCATGCTCTCATATCGGTGCGCAGGTCCTCTGTCTTTCCCTCACAACGGTGGTCCTGTGACTGCTCGTGTCGTATTGGTGCTGATCTTTGCAAGTTTGACGCACCAAGGACAAATTTATTTTTTGTCATGTTTTTCTATGCCAACTTCATGTTTGCCGAAGTGCACCCGCTGTAATGCATTGTCTTCTCTTCATTGTAGCTAAGCCAATTGAACTCCTTCAGCCAAGCAGAACGAAAAACATCGTGGCTAGTTGATTTTCTTTTTGTTGCTTCTTCAACTTCTTCGTCCGGCTTCGCTTTTTTTGATTCCGAACAATCGCTGCGATCTGTGTCACTTTCTTTTCTTCGCTTTACCCACGAATCAAGAGTGGAGCTCGCCATCTTTGATTCAGTCAGCTCTATTATTATTATTTTTTTAGCATTCCTTTAGCGGTGTGGTACTTTGACTATTACCCCTGTCGTGAGGTTGCTCACATCCTTCTATAAGACTATGGGGGTAATCTTACAGCAGGGGTAAACTCAAGGCACGACACCGGCGAATGCGAGCGACAACAATGTGAGCGGAGCTCTTCTTGAAGCAAGCCGGTGTCGCTGGAAACTGCGTGCAGCTGATAAGTAGGTCGACTGCTTCCGTCACAGACAAAAGGTGACTGCTGTGTGTGTGTGGGTGTGTGTGTGTGTGTTGTCAAATCATTGACTTGGCTTCGAGATGGAGAATTGGGAAAATGATGCTTGCCAGACGCACACCACCTACGTTTTAAAGCGTATGCAAACCCCCGAAACGAAATTTTAAAGAGTAAAGCTCACGCACCACCAAAACTTTAAGGGGGTAATCTGCAGGTTTAATGCGTAATATACGCAGGGGAGCCCTGTCCTATGCCTAGGTACACGCTTGTGTAATGTGCCATGCGCAGGCCATGGGAAACTACCCATGAAGAAATACAGCTGAACTAGTCCACAAATGCTTACTTCCCTTGCATTTCTGATTTAACAGAGATCTGATAATAACAGGACTTTTTCTCTGGTCCCACCTTCCCTGTTATATCAGGTTTCCACTGTAGATGTACCATCGAGACGTCCATTCTTTATACATGTACAGTATTCCGTTGTTAAATGCAGGAGGGGGCTGTTGTTTTTTGGGGGTTTTTTTTTATTTTACTTGGAAGGCGTGGATATTGAGGAAATCTCTGGTTGTTAATCCTTTAACAGAATGTTAGAGTATAATATATTGACAAGTCTAATATATATGGACAGTCTACTTCCATTGTTGCCAGAAACAAATCTGGTAATTTCTCAGAACTTTGTTGTACAGATCTTGGTGCTCCCTTAATCTATCCCCGTGGTTTTATGCACCCCGCATACTTTAGCAAAATTTGATCTTTTTTTGCATAATTTCTGATTATTTTCCTTTTTCATTCTTTGTTAAAATTAACAAAATTGCATAATTTAACATTTTTGGGCTCAGTTTGCATAAATTCAAATTTTTTCGTGCGTAAAACGACGGGGACAGCTTAATCATTAAAGTTTTTATCAATTGTCCATCAAGTTGTGACTTCTTGTTGCATTGTAAAACTTTGTATTTGAATGCAGTTATTTTCTGTATTGTTGTTTCCTGTTATTTGTTACTTTCAAGTTGAATAAAATGAATGATGCTATGTGCGTTTTGTTAAATTTTGATGCTGTATGCAGTTGAGTGGTTCCTGTTTGTTGATTTTTTCTATCCAAAAACACCAGTAATGGGTGGTTGGTGGGTGCTGTGGTGTGGTTTGCTCCTTCTTTCCTATCAAACTCAAACATCTGTTGTCCTGATTCCCCCCTCCTTTTTTTTGTTTGTTACTCTCTTGTATCACATCTAATCTTTGACTCTTATATGACCTTATTGTGTTGCAAGTGCCATAAAACTCTTACTAAAGAAAAACCCAAAAAACCTGCCACCCATTGTTGAGTTGTCTTTAGGCCATTCCCAAAGGGGGATATTAACACTTTGTTATGCACAGTAGAATTGTAAATGGGCTGATTTATCCATGTCGTGCTCATACTGTTCCCGAACAATGTAGGGGGAACTGCTGCTTTTTCTTTCCTCATCCTTACTATCGTCATTTTCCTCTACTTCTCTTGTTTGTTTGTCGTTGTCACTGTCTTGTGAACTGCTATTTCCGGGGTGCCTTGATAGTAATAGTTGAAGCAGACTTAGTGCTGTTGAAGCTCGAGAGGTGAACAGAGTAAGTCTGATTCCCTGTAAGGACTTCTCTGTTGACATCCACCACTTGACGCTCATATGACCTTATGCAGTTGCGGGCGCTGTAAAACATTTTGAAACTGAAACAACAAACATTGTCGAGGACATCTTAAACAGGTGGTCCTTTTGGACAATTTCATTCTAGTGTAAGAAAAATGCAAAGGGGAGAAGTGGGAGGTGGTTGTTTATACAAGTGATTGTCTTGAACAGGTCGTCCTTAGGGCAGGTTGGACTGTAATTTTATCATACAGTGGAACTCGGATTCACCGAGGTCGCTGGGCCTGACCTGAAATCTCGTTGAATCTTAGGTGTTTGTAATAGCAAACATGAGGTTTTGTGTAGATAATTACAGACACTGAGCAAGTAATGTATAAAGAGAGGTAACAAGTGGTGCCTGAAATACCTGCTTATTATCAGCTGTGCAAAAAAAAAAGACCGATTTGTTCAAATGCACAAGCCTGTGCCATCTTGAATATTCGCCAAAAAGTTGTGTTGCTGTGGAGAGCCTAGCAGTAGCAGACGGCAACTTTAGATTCCATAGACCAGCGCACAATTCATTACGTAGATCTTCGTCAAGACTAGCTTATCATTGTAATAATGATCAGTTCTCGAGGGTAAAAAGACTGTGATGTGTCTGTATCTGCGACGTTCCACGCCTGGACCTCGTTGAATCCAAGCTTGCTGATTTAAGTAATCGTTGAATCCGGGTTTTAAAAAATTGATTTTAAGGAAAAGGGAAAAAAAGGGGAATCCTTCTCCTTTCGTTGAATCCGAGTTCCACTGTATAGAATTTCTTATAGTCTGATGTTGCCAAAAGTTGTTTTTTTAAAAATCAGAATCATTCTGGAAAGAGTTAATTGATGTTTTAAAAAAGTAATGATACAGTAACAGTAATTATTATACATGTAGCAACAGAGAAAAAAGTATCGTGATCCAACAAATTTTTTGTCGGAAATGTTTCCTTTGTCCTCACACTGTCCTTAAAAAATGCTTTTTTAAAATTGAAACTTCCTTTAACTTTCATTCTTCTAACAATTGTAGCTACCGTACTTAAACTACTTTCATTATTTTCATTACTTTTTTAAAACATTTA